CCCCCCAGCCCCTCCCTCACCTAGACCTCCACATTACCCCAAACCCCTCCCTCACCTGGACCCCCTCACTTCCACATCCCCTCCCTCTTCTCTCTTTTACCTGTACCCCGTTCCCTCCCCCCTTTACCCCCTCCCGTTACCTGTACTCCGTGTGATTTGACGAGGTGCATGTTGAGAGCCGGTGGGTTGGGGAGGACCTTGCCGCATCCTCTCACGGTGCACAGGATGTTGGTGCGGACCTCCCTGGACAGCTCGCTGACGGACGGCTTCACGATCTCCCAGTGCTCGCACGAGTAGAGCGGCCGGACCCTGGCCCCGCCCCCTGGCCCCCGGGCCGCCATGGCACAGCGCTCCGGGTGCCGTCTACACAGCACACCGGCGTGAGGCCGCCAGGCAACGACTTCCGGGGGCGGGCACTAAACTGACAACAATACAGCCATTGGGCGGACGGCTCTGTATTTGCATAAAGGGGCGTGGCCGCGGCAGTAGGCATTTGTAGTAACGCGGCGGGTGGTGAGAAACACTGCGCCCTGAGCGTATCCCTCCGCCAAGTGTTACACCTTGCAAATAGTGCGTGGGATGAGCTATAAACAGACTGATGGCAATCAGCTTAGAGATAACACACACAGCATATACAAACAGGAGAGAGTGGGGAGTGTGTATAAAAAGGGCTATATTCTAAAAAAAAGTCAATAACTAAAAATGGACCTGTTACCATGGAAACCAGCAGACTTATTCCATTGATCACCCCTCCCCAATGTTCTAATTTCTTCTCTTCATTTGCAATGTGTGCCCTGGATCTGCCAGGCGTGAACTGGACGGCGATGTCGTCTGTTAAATATTTAATATAAATTTAAAGAGAAAAACAGAAACTTTTTGTAAGACAGCAGAGCAGCGCAGGATAAACAGTTCTAGCGGTGTTTATCAATGTTTTATGTAAAGGTGTTAATTCCAGAGCAGTCACACTTCCTCGTTAAATTTAATAAAACTCAATGTTACAGTTAAGTAAAGCACCAACGCTGAGCCCCCCGCAGCCGCTGGGAGATATAATATTCCTGAATAGATCTATATTGATTGTAGGAATCTATTTCTTGAGCTGTTCTTATTAAGCTGATTTTTGTTATTAAAGGTATATATTTTTTTATACATTTATGTACCCCCCTCCTCTCCCTCCCTCCCCTGTACCCCCCTCCTCCATTTTATCTACTTCCTCCCATTTCATTTATGTATTTGGAACACACATACAATATTTGAAGTTTTGAATCTACGGCGATAAAGTCACTCTTTTTATGTATGTTGCTGCCCACTTTATTTAGAATTTTGGTCACCAAAAGCGTCCCTCTGGCGGCTCCTCCCCTCAAACCTTCTGTGAAACTGAGCCTATTGTTTTCTACAGCTAAAGTTCCACTAAGAAATCCCACCATGTGGGAAAACACATCTTTAAAACTCTACATTTAGACAGGGTACGTCCTGTTACTATTGATGACGTGGCCACACCACGAAAAAGATCCAAAAATCGGTGAGGAAATAGAGAAGGGCAAAAGCTCTACTTGAGTCTTCCAAATCTGAGACTATATCAGAGGAGGTGTCTAATGAGTCAGATTATGTAGACCAGGAATGCCCAAAATGTAGATCTCTAGTACTACAACTCCCATGATGCTTTGCATGCCTTTAGAATGACAAACATCATGGAAGTTGTAGTTTTAAAACATCTGGGGATCTACCTTTTGGGCACCCCTGATGTAGACTCTTCAAACTGAGAAATCTTCTCCAGTGTGTCTACCTTGCCAATGGTTACTTCTAATGGAACTATGGATGATTCACTTCTCCTAGACCTCCAAGGGGAAATTCTGCTTGACCCAGATACTCTTCAGCATCTGAGCTCAACAGAATGGTATCCCACTGATCACGTGGCCAGATACATCGTTGAGCAGATTCGAAAACCCCTGGACAAGACTGCTAGAAATAAACTTAGGGCCGAATGCTTGCATCACTCCTTACATTGACCCAAAGGTCGCACAATTCCTGGGAAAATCAGGAAGGAAGGCCAAAAATGATTCTATTCGTTCTGGGACCAAATGCCAGGATTTTCAATATGGTCAAATCAGCCTTGGCAGAGGAAACCTCAGCTGATCAACATGCCACCAGAGGGTGGATCCAACACTTAATTTGTATGATCGGAAATGCAAATACAGCGTTAGCTACTGACAGAAGTAAGGCGAATTTTGATTCACATCGAATCTAAGCTAGTGAATCCAGCTATTTCTGAGCCTGGGCCACAGGTAAAAGGCCTCCTTTTCAAAGATAATTTAGTAAAAGTGCTTGGTAAATATTCCGGTACTTTCACTGCACTCGAGAAAGCACAGTCTAATATGAAACAGTGTTCTCTCCAAAGTTGTATGGCAGGGCCTTCACACAAAGGGGCCATCTATCTGGCAGTTCCTCTCAGGGCTATTGAAGCACCGCTTCAGCTAGAGTTAACACAATGGAGGCTACATTACCTTCATCCTTTTTCCAAGTCTGGACAGACCTTGGCAATTTCAAGGAGCCTCCTATTCTGTAACCTGATGGAACCCTATGGCAAGTCATTTACTATTCCATCTTTCTTTCCTAACAAACGTTGGGGACAGGTTCGTTGTCTCTGCACAGGTCTAGTCCCTAGTATTGGCAGAGTTCCACTTTCCACTCCAGGATTTTTTGAGCATCTTTTTTTTGGTTCTCACAAAAGGGGGTGGTGTCCACCCAATTATCAATCTTCACCCTCTGAATGTGTTTGACGCATCATCTATTTCAAGATGGTGAGTATTTACTACCGCTGGGATTTTCTCCTGTTTGGAGTAAATATAGTGGAGACCGTGTTTATTCACTAAATACCCAATTACAGTGGTTTGAAAACAGTATTACAAAATAAAATTAATAATACTAATCAGGAAAACTTCAACTCTACCATAGTCACAGCTTGACTAACTTAGCCTAAATTTAGAATATGATTTAAAGTTCACTGTAATTTACATTTATTAACTAAAGTGCAAATTCAAAGTAAGTTGCAAATTTTAGACCAAAATAGCCAACCGTAACTGAAGATAATTTTTCCATGCAAAGATCGCTGGTGATGGGAGGAGGAAACTCCGAGGGTAAACCCTTCCCTTAGGGAGATGTAGTTTAGGTTAAAGTAAACAGCACTGCTCATTTTGGCTACAGCAGAGAATGAATAGGATCGGGCAAACAAACTACACAAGCTAATCTTAGAATATTGCAGACAGAAGCAGATGATTTCTATATAATGACAGCAATTGATCTGTTTTATACTCTTAATTCTAAACATTAGGAACTATATATTTGCTCATCAGTAATCTTTCCAACCCACCACAGCCCAAAAATATAAACCCTAATTCCCTGTAAAGGGAAACTATTGGTGAAAAATGTTGAATGCATTATATCAGGGGTCCTCAAACTCCAGCCCCCCATTTGTTGCTGAACTACAACTCCCATGATTCTTTGAATTACACAGATATCCAGAGAATCATGGGAGGTGTAGTTCAGCAACATCTAGGGGGCCAGAGTTTGAGGACTCCTGCATTATATCATTTAACATTACAAAATAGACACTTGCCATCAATTTCCTGTACATGTGCCATTCGGTGAGCCTGCCTGCAGCTACATACAGACCTCTCATTCACCACGATGAGACACTCCACACAAGAGGATGTAATGCTGGTCTAGTCATATTCCATAAATCTCTGTACTGGATGAGTGGAACTGTTCTGTAACCGGATGGAATCCATACTGTGTCTGCTATCAGTGTATACACACTGTTTTTTTAGTGCACTGGTTAGAGCAAAGATTGCTGTTTTGAGCACAGAGATTGGACAGTCTGTGCATGCATGGACCCTCTGTGGAGGAAGGAGAGCTCGGCCAAGGATTGGTGTATGGTGAGTGCACAACGCATTCACAATATTGGAAAAAAATTATCCAGGCAGTTGCAATAGTTCTGAGGTCAGTTCAATACTTGCAGTGATTTTTACAGATCATCGCCACTCTAAGCCACTCCTGGTGCTGAGCTAGTGCATGGTACTGCCTGCACCAAAAACAGAACAACAATGCAAATGTGATGGTGCTCATACTGGCCTTATAAAAAGTTTGTCATCTCTTACTAGGTGTATTTGTAATATGAAATAGCACAGCTGCATGCTGAAAACAGCCCACTTAATTGTTACCCTCAACAGTCAGCAGCCCCTTTCTTTGTTTTACTCCAATTTAGAAATAAGCCAGTACCATAAACTTTTTTTTATAAACAGGAATCAGACCATTTATAATTTTTTTTTAATAAAATATATATTTTTTCAATAGTATGGTATAGGTGATTCTAAATTTGAAATGACTTGTTTAACATTTGTTAATAATTTCTGGGATTAAGAGTGCATGGATGTGATACAATCTATTTAAACTGTCACTTTTTTTTTTTTTTTTTTTTAAATGTATAGTTTCAAATCCCCCCCCCTCCTCACATAACCAAACATCATGACACAAAAAAGTAGTTTTATTTAGGAATAGTTAATGTCAATGGACAAAATCTGTTTTTAAGAAAAAAAAAAAAAAGAAAAAAAAGAGCTGCTTGTTAGTTCATAAGAACTTCCATCTGTACAAGTCGAGAGTTTGTGTCACCAGACATCCTGTATGGAATCATCCCGGCAAATGTGATGATAGCGCGAGCTTGACTACGCAGAACCTGGATAAGACAAGAGATTCAGTAACAGGATTTACCAGCTATGGGTCACTGTCAAACTCATTAATATACCAACTTACAGAATGCCTTTCCTCCAACACTCGCTGAGGATGCCCAAGGGAGGAGGGCCCGCTGCCTTTTAACCTTTTATACTGCGTGCATAATATGTTCATTGTTGCAAGCAGAACTTCAGACAAGTTATGCCGAATCTGTGAAAGGGAATAAACCAATTGGTAACTTCAGGCATAAAAAAATAAAATATCACAAATGGGTATAGAGGTCATATTTAAAACAAATTTATATCTAACAGTTCATAATGATAAGCTGGGATTTTTGTTATTTATGGTATGTGAGCAACAGAAAGCAAAGCATCCACAATTCTACTTATATTGTCTCCCTCTGGAGAACTGCTGCTTCCAATCTGCTCTGCTGTCTGGAACAGTGTTACTGAGCCAGGTAGATAGATACACAGTCTGAAACGGTAGCATAGAAAATATAACTACATTGGGAAAGCCCTTATGTTTGTTTGTTTTTTGCTTACATTTCATCCTGTTTTCTTAGCCACCTGTCTCTTATGTTCCCCTCTTTGCCAAATCTTCCCCTTCTTGTACATCTTGCGTCACTCCTCTACAAAGTGTGTAATTTTATTGTCCCTCTTGTGGTTCCCATTGTTCTCATATCT